GTAATCCCGATATATCCCTTCTCCACAGAAGGACAAGCCTTAAACCTTCGGAAGGCGGAATATGGAATGCATGAAACTTTCATGACGGCTCATGGGTTAAGGGATTACGTTAAACTACGAAACACTACAGTTTTGTAGGTTCTGATTACGAACCCCAATATACAGCTTATAGGGGCTCTACACAAGAGTAGGTTTTGGTAGGTCAAACCCGAAACCTTTAAGCCATGGGGTTTATGGATTGAGCCTAGGGTAATTGGGGAACTTGGGAAAGGGATCAGGATTCCCCGCTTTAGGGTTTAGGGCTTGTAAGGTTTAGGGTTTTGAGTTTAAGGTTAGAGCTCATCCGCACTGGAACCTTACCAGACAAGTCGCATTCGGACGCCCGAAGAGTCTATAACACCGTGCAAAAAAACTCCTATTCAAAAGCTAGTACAGGGGTCTAAATATTAATTAGCAATATTAGTTTGAGAGCTCCTTGATTATAGTTGGAGTAGAATATACCCAACAAACCTATTCTTTTCATTGTACGGCCCCTACACACTAAATCCCTAATAGAACCCTTATGGATCCCCTTAAAGGGATCCTTTCAAGCAGCCCTTTTCTAGTTACTAAGGCACTAGACGTTTTAGCCCCTCAGCCCTAAACCCCAATCCCTAAACCCCAAACCCCTGAATGATGCTTGACCTTGGTTTGGTTCTTCGTTGTGCTGGTTGCGGAGTACATGATTAAGTGCATGCTCATCAGTGAGCTGGCTCTGCGACCGGTCTGCGGGAGAAAGGGTCACTGCACGCAAAAACAAGCTCTAATCCCTAAACCCTAAACCCCAATCACTAATCCCTAAACCCTAAACCCCAATTACTAATCCCTAACCCCTAATCCCTAAACCCTAAAGCCTAAATCCTTATAAGCCTTATAAACCCTATAAACCCTGTCAACCCCAGAAACCCTATAAACCCTAGAAACCCTTTGAACCCTAGAAACCCTATAAACCCTCATCCCTAAACCCTGGAAACCCTATAAAACCCTCATCCCTAAACCCTAGAAACCCTTTAGTCTGGAACTCTGAGGCGATGAAAAAGGCCCTTAAAACAAAAAAACTTATAAACCCTATAAGCCCTATATTCCCTAAACCCTAATCCTAAACCCTATAAACTCTATAAGACCCTCATCCCTAAACCCTAGAAACCCTTTAGTCTGGAACCTAATCCTTAAACCCTATAAACCCTAATCCTTAAACCCTATTTACCCTATTTTCCCAAAAGCCTAAAACCTAATCCCTAAACCCTAGAAACCCTTTGGTCTGGGACTCTGAGGCTCTGCTGAAGGAGGCGTCGCAAAGCTCCCTGGAAGCCTTGGCCTGGGCCTCGGGGAGCTCCGGTGCTTTCGGTTTCAGGGTTTTAGGGTTTAGGGAGTAGGGATTAAGGGTTTTTAGGGTTTAGGGTTTAGGGATTAGGGATTAAGGGTTTTTAGGGTTTAGGGTTTAGGGAAGAAGGGTTTAGGGTTTATAGAGTTTAGGGTGTGGTAAGGTTGGGGTGTAGTAAGGTTTAGAGCTTAATAAGGCTTTAGGGCTAATAGAGCTCACGGTTTAGCAAGGTTTGGGGCTTAGTAAGTTTAGGGCTTAGGGTTTCGGGTGCTAAGCCCTAACCCGAACCCCTAAAGGGTTAGATGTCCGGGTTGTGGTTTGGGGCTTTCGGAACCAGGGCTTCGGGTTGCGGGCCAAACCCAAGACTTCAGGGCTTAGGGCATCGCAGATCCCCTCCAACCAGTACATTGCAAAGTTCTATGGTGGTCGGCTTCGGGTTGAGGCCCTAAACACTATAAACCCTAACCAAACTTCGGGATCGACAGCCGCAACTAACCTTTCCTGCGAATGCCCTCAACCCGCGCACTAGGGTTTAGGGGTTGGGGGTTTGGGGGGTTTATGGTTTAGTAGGGTCTAAGCTTTAGGGCTTAGTTTAGGGGTTTGGGGTTGAGGGTTCATCAACTTGAAATCCCCCTCCCCCACGGTCTAGCACACCAAGCTCCCAACTAAATCGGCACAAATCATCCTGAACCCGAAACCCCTCTACCGTACAGCCCAAACCAGAATCAACCTAAGCCTCAAACCTCGGGCCTAGGGTTTAGGGCCTATTGGGTTTAGGGTTTGAGGTTTAGGTTTTAGGGTTTAAGCCTCAAACCTACTGAGGCCAGCCTCTTGACAATCACCGGCAAGGACGCTGCTGTTGGGATGTGGGGATTTCAGGGAAGGTTTGGGCAATTCATAAGTCCGGTTTTGAGGGAGGGTTAGAGCAGAGGCAATCTTCTGTGTCTTTACGGTCTCTATGATATACCGATTGTTAGATGGTTCGGTGGGTAGATACTTCTGATCTACCGCCTTTGTGTATACACCTGAGCACCCTGGCTTGTTAATTAGAATAGCGGTCTTGCGCACAGTTTATTGTACTATATATATATATACACGAGGGACATAGAGGGATTATAAGTGGGGATACTGTTACTAATGATTCCGACCCGTATGTTAAATCAGCCGACCATGAAGATGCTTATTCTGAGGCTTTAGCATCAGAGTAAACGCATAACAGAAGGATCGGTTGGTTGATGCGTTAGATCCTATGCACCTCTGCATTGGCATGCAGGAGCCTTGATCATTTTGAAGAGGGCGTTGGCGTACACCGTACAATGTATTATACTTTGGTTACATGAGGGACCATAACAGGTGATACTGTGATGTTGTTACTAATTATTTCGACCGGTCTATTCAATGAGCCACCCCAAACAGTTGGCGACATGAGAGCATCTGATACACGGTTCAGACACAGGACTCGGGGACCCAAGCCCTAAGGCCCTAAGCCTAAACTATACAGACCCTAAACTCGGGGCTCCAGTCGCTCGAGTCCCTGGGCCTTTAACTTTAAAGCCTAATCCCTGCAACTGGAATCTGGGTCTTTGTTGGATACAATTTTACATTTTTGTTATAATAAAAACCTAATAAGGATTAAACATGATCTTTTTTTAATGTGGCCCCAATAGGGAGCCAGGAATCTTAGACACAACACCCGGTGGAACCTTCAAGCTCTACAGTAGAAGCCCACAAGTTGGAAGCCAAACAGCCTCAATCCTTAAGAGATAATGTATAGGGAGTCAGAGCACTAATTGTCCTCAATCCGGTTTCCAACTTTTTACGGTTTTCTATACACCCCGAACCGTAGATTCGAAACCAATTTGGGGCGCAAGGAGTTTGATCTTCCGACGTGGCAGCCGGGATCCTACCGGGGAGTTTAAGGAATGGGGGTGTGTCACGTTTGGTGCTTAGGGTTTGGTTCAGAGTTGGGGATTCAGGGTTTTGGAGTTGGGGTTTGGGGTGTAGCATGTGGGGTCTATGGTTTAGGAATTTTGGGATGTTTAAGTTAGTTTAGGATTGGGGTTTCAGGGTTTAGGATTTTCGGTTTTGGGGTTTCGTGCGGCTTGTGTTTGAGGCTTCCAGTAGACTCCAAACACATACTCCGAAAAGATCCCCCTCAGGGTCCAAGTGCCTAATCATCATATACCCCTTGAAATGTTAACCCTTCACATTAAACCCTCATCCTAAATAACCGCGATCCGAAACCCAAGTGCCTAATTAATCAGGGGCCTTTTCCCAAAACCCCTACAAAACCCTGTGAAAGCCTAACAGAAGCCTTGTAAGAACTCCTAAGCCCTAATTGTTGAGTTTGGGCCTCGTGGGATCCTGCTTGCGATTTAGGGTTTATGTTCTAGGTTTAGGGTTTTGGGTTTTGGGTTTTGGGGTTTAGGGTTTAGGTTTTAGGGTTTAGGGTTTAGGGTTTAGGTTTAGGGGTGAAGAGTTTAGGCTTTAGGGTTTAGGTAATCTCCACTCTGCATCTGATGCTTGCACAAGCCGCCATGAGCTAGAAGCAGGCATCAGCTTCTTACAAAAAGGGCTCGACACACCTTGAACCACAAGACCATGGGTTGTATAAGAGTTATATGGGCTTGGGGTTTTTGAGTATGTACTTTGCCCTTCAAGTACCTGTTTGTAGGAGCACCTTTCAGGCCAATGCACAGCCTGCAGTGATCTTCCTAGGTGTTTTTCCGAGCCCTAAACCCCTACACCTAAACCCTAAAACCCTAAA